CGGTCACAGGGTGATGGGTCGGACTGAGGTAGTCCTGCTGACTACTGAGATGATTCAGCAGATCAGACAGCGGTTACATACCGCACAGAGTCGACAGAAGAATTACGCCGACCGGCGCTGATCTGAGTTGGAGTTTCAGGTCGGTGTCATGGTACTCCTGAAGGTCTCACTCTCGAAGGGTGTGATTCGCTTCAGGAAGAAGGGGAAGTTGGTTCCCCGATACATCGGGCCATTCAGGATCACTGTTTGGGTTGGCAAGGTGACGTATAGACTAGATCTCCCTGAGGAGCTTAGTCAGATCCACAACACTTTCCATGTTTCACAGTTGCGGAAGTGCATTCAGGATGAGGATACAGTAGTGTCATTAGATGATATTCAGGTGGATGAGTGCCTGAATTACGTGGAGAGGCCAGTGGCTATTCTTGAGAGGAAGGTGAAGGTTCTACGGAACAAGGAAGTACCTTTGGTAAAGGTACAGTGGTAGCATCGGAGGGGATCCGAGTGGACTTGGGAGCCGGAGGCAGAGATGCGGGAGCATTACCCCGAGTTATTCACCGCAGCAGACTTCGAGGACGAAGTCTAGTTCAAGTGGGGGAGAATTGTAACACCCCGACTCCCAGGTATAATTTTCAAAAGCTTTATATTCATTTTACTGAGGGAACTCGACGAGTTGGAGGCCCCAACTCATCGTGTCGAACCTAGTTGGACCGCGTGGTTTATGACTCCTACTCGACGAGTCGGAGGACCCCGACTCGATGAGTAGGGGCTGTGCATGGCCGGCCCTTTTTGGATTGTTATCCTGATATGTTATATGCTCGAGTATCGTATGATCTGTTAGATCGGTATCCTGGTAGATGAGATGTATTATGCTGTTATGATAAGTTAGATCGGTTTGTCTGTCTATAGACTGTTATGTGATTATCTGATATATGTGCACATGTTTGATTAGTGGTTGAGGCTTATTTGCTTTGTGCGAGAGCCGACAGACCTGGACATTCCAATCCGATGGTTGTGGGCCGTGAGTATTCCATCTCGAGGATGATTGGACTTGTAGTATGTGGGCATTCCAACCCGATGGTGGTGGGCCGATGGTATACCATCCCGAGGATGACTGGACCTATAGTATGTTGGCATTCTAACCCGATGGTTGAGGGCTTGGGGTATTCCAACCCGATGGTTGATTGGACCCATAGTATGTTGTTTGTGATTATGTGTATATTGTTATGTGTATGGGTATTTTAGGGGAACTCACTAAGCTTCGGGATTACAGTTTTGGATTTTGTTTCAGGTACTTCAGATGATCGCGGGAAGGCGAAGGCGTGAACGTGCACCTCCTCTCATTTTTATGATCTTGATTTCTGGGATACTCTGATGTCTAAACTATTTTGAAAACACTTTGTAATAACTTAATGGTTTTGAATGGTTGAAAAAGTTTTAAATTGGCCTGATTTTATGGATGTTACAAGTTATTAAGTTTTGGTTTGAAAGTCAAAAGTCGTTTCTTTGGCACATTTATAAGTTAAAATATCTCATTATTTAACAATTATAAATCAATTCTTTAGAGTTATCATATTTACTTATTATAGCTAACAAATCAAAATCCCAAAATTTAGGATTAAATTATTATAGGAGACATCACACATATACTTTTATATTTGTAGATTTTTTTTTACCAAATAAGACATTATTAATGTTGGCTGTGTCATTTATATTAATTTTGCAGCAAAAAAGATGAATTTCGAGGTCCTGTGACTGTTTATTCAAATGACAAGGATCATATCAACAACTTTTTGGATCTTTTTAATTTCAACATGTTGCCTCACTTTTTAATGATTATGCAATGGTTCCAAACATCCCAAAATATTATAATTTGGTTCGTAATAACCAATAAGGATCATTTAATTTTTATTTTCACAATTAGTGTCAATTTCATTTATAAGGTTAAAAAGTTGATTATTTAAGTGAATTTAATGATGCAAATATATCATTTCATAGTTGATGTAAATACGTAAGAATAGTTTTCACCATATGAAGATGATATAGGAAGTGAAATGACCACTTGCAATTTCATGATTAACACGGTGATTTAAATTAAGTTATAACAAACTATGGTTGATGCTTCAACGATTTGTTTTTATTAAAAGTACTTACTAATTCCTCATTTCATTATTATAAAAGTGATTTAGTTGCCAATGTGGGACTAACCCAATTCGTATAGGCTTTGCATTTTAGATTGAAGGTCCCGAGATTTAATTCGGGTGTTGGCGAAATCCAGCTAACTTGGTGATACACTGATACTAACTTCTAACCACTAACCACTAACCAGTTGTTAAAAATAATACAGTTGTTTAATTCGGGCGTTGGCGAATCCTTAATTTTTTATGTATATTTTTTAAACCAACCCGTGTAATACATGAGTTTTTAACGGAAGTATACAAGACAATATGAATGTTTCATTAAGTTATTTCTACATCTGGTCAAAATGCAAAGTTCTAAGATTAACAAAAAAAACATGAGTTTAAGCGTTCAAACATCTGATATTGAATAAACAATAACATTTGCAAACTAGATGTTAGATATAGGAGAATAAAAAGTTGATGGTTTAAATGAGAGTAAATTACATGAATGGTCCCTATGGTTTGGGGTAATTTGCACGTTTGATTCCTAACTTATTTTTTTAACTCAGAAGGTCCCCCCAGTTTGTTTTTGTTGCACGCTTGGTCTCTGTCTTACCTAAAAAGACTATTTTGCCCTTGATTTCTTAATTTATTTAAATAATGTGTGGTAGGTAAAGTAAGGTAAGGTGAGATGAAAGTGAGGTTGGGGTGTTTATTTAAAAAAATTAAAAAATCAAGGGCAAAATAGTCTTTTTAGGTAAAACAAGGACCAAACACTCAACAAAAACAAACAACATGGACATTCTGAGTTAAAAAAATAAGTTAGAGATCAAACGTGCAAATTATCCCAAACCATAGGGACCATTCGTGTAATTAACTCTTTAAATTATGACAAGACAATTAGTGATATTCCGGATAATCTTTTCATTAATGATTCTTTTGTTCGTATTGGTTCATTAGTTAAATATGTCTATTTATTTTGAAACATTTTTATAAAAAAATGTTTAATATTATACCTTAATATATAAGTTTTTTTAGTCAATTCGTGTAATATAATATAGATGTCTCAAACTTTGTCTTCTTGTAAAATATAGAGCAAATTACACGAATGGTCCTTTAGCTTTACAGTTTTTCCCTGAAATGGTCCTTACGAAACCTTTTTCCCTAAGATGATCCATATGGAGCAAACCTTGCACACAAATGGTCCTTGTGACTAACTTTGTTAATAACTTCTGTTAAGGTTTGTTAAATGATAAAAATACCCTTTGTTTTTATGCACACAGATGGTCCCCCCTCTCTCTATCTCTGTCTCTCTCCAGAAATAACCCATACACACATTCCATTATCGATTTGGAAGTGTGTAGTTGAATACTCCACCCAACAACACCAATTTCATCGATGAACTCCACCGTCAACCACCCTCATCCACCACAACCCTTACCGAAAACATCCTCACCATCTCCCTCGCTTCACCAAACTAAATCAACATAAATGTGTCAAACATCACTACATCTCCCACCCAAGAACATACAACCAGAACCTCAATGCCTTAGAAGGCCTGTGAGCCGCCGAGAAGAAACCCACTTGCCAGACATTATCTCACTTCCTCTGATTTTGATCGAGAATTGATTTCTGGAACCATTTTGGATTTCGATCGAGATTGATTTCTGAAACAACCGTCTCTCCGATCTACAACTCGACGAAGACGATGGTTGAGTCGCCTGTCTCTTTCCTTCTTTGGTGATGTTGTTCCAGCACTCTGATGGCGGCGACGATTAGGGTTTCAAGCGATGGTTTGCAAAAGAGGGTTTCAGATCCCCCGCCGTTTAGGGTTTCAAGCGATGGCGGCGACAACAAAGAGGGAAAATAGATGGTCAATGTATCTCCAACCTCCTGAGAATCGACGAGCACCACCGACGGCACATCACAACTTCAGATCCAAAGTTTTTTTGGCTGAATGTGGCTTGATGTCGATGTCTGGATTTAAAGTTTTTTTTTCTTTGGCGTGTATGTATGACAGATAAGAGAGAGGTAAAGATAAAATAAATGGTGGTGGTGGTGGTGGAGAGTGGTGGCCGATGGTGGTGGGTCGGTATTTGTTTGTATGTGAAATAAGAAATGATGAGAAGAAGAAGATGATGGAGAGAGAGAGGTACTAGGGTGGGTGGACCTCAACTTTTTTAAGTTTCAAATTAACAAAATATTAAAAATAAATAAATAAATAAATAAAAAGGGTATTTTCGTCTTTTCACACACATTTAACATAATCTGTTAGCAAAGTTAGAGGGTGTTTGGCTAAGCTTATTTAAGCTCCTTTTTAACTTATTACCTGTTCCACATGGGTATAAGTTAAAAAGAGTTTTTGGATAAAAATAACTTATCAAGGTATTATACCGGAAATAAGTCAAAATCTATAAGTAACCCCTCACTAACTTATTAGCTTATAAGTTATAAGCTATAATTGAAGTCCAAATCTATAAGTTACCCCTCCCTAACTTATTAGCTTATAAGTTATAAGCTATAAGTTGAAAAATGCTTATGAAAAGTCATAAGCTTAGCTAAACACCCCCTTAGTCATAATGATCATTTGTGTGTAATGTTTTTTTTAGGGACTATCACAGAGAAAAATGTTTTGTGAGGACCTTTTAAGGAAAAACTGTAAAGCTAAAAAAAAATTATAATTTACTCTAAAACATAATTAAGTGAGCAAATATGTATAAAAGAAAAGATACGGTACCTTACCGTTTCGAGTCTATACCCCTAAATCAATGTAGAAACAAATTCTATCATGAAGAAAAAAAGAAAAAAAGATTTAATTTGAAATCTGTTCGAAAAAAAAATAATTGACGGTGAGTGTCAGACAGACGAAAGAATTGAAAGAGGATGGAACGAGAATCGAGGAGAAAAAGAAATAGAAAATACCCTCCAAATGATTCACAAATTAGATTCTGCAACCAAAATTTTCACTTGTTTCCATCTACGATGAGCGATTGGTTGGGCTTTTCCCTTTCCCCTCATCTTAAATTCCACCATCAGGAAGATGGCGGCGGCGGCGACTACGGTGGTGATCGGTGTTACTCGGAGCAGTGTGATTCTTCTTCCATGGGGGTTATGACTATCGATCCTTTCCATCCTTCTCCTGATCAAGGTACCTGTTGTTTATTTTCTTAGCCCTGGTTTGATTTTTAGCTTTTGAGTACTGTTTTACAATTTAGTTTCGCTAGTAGGATGGAGATTTGAAAATGGCGATGATAGCGGCGGAGGTGGTGGTGGTCCTAAGTTAGAAGATTTCTTGGGCGGTGGTTGTTATCCCATTACTGCAAAAGAAGACGAGGGCGGTGGCGGTGGTGGTGGCGGCATCAACGTTAATATGTCTCCAAACTCTAACTATCACGAATATCATCATACGGATGGTGATATTGTAGAGTCTAGAAACGCCGGTGATTGCTATTTCTCAAACCCACCGCCACCTGCACCGCATCCGCCATCGTCGCCGCCATGTTTGTTCTACTACGGCTATCCTTTTTACCCGACAAACCAAAACCCACAGCAAAATGACTTGATCCCAACGACAACAAACGGCGTCGTTGTTCCATACGACGGTGCAATCACTCCGATATCGGAGTTCAAATCGTGGTTACGTCAACCTTCAATTCCACCGCCGCCGCCGCCACAACCACCGCCATTATCACCCGATTGCGATGATCAACCTGTGAACAACGATTATCAGGAGTGCTTGTCACTAGCGGTAACACCTCCAAACGCCATCATCCCCATGCCACCGAACTCATCAGCGACTGATAATCGGAAGCGAGGGGTGTTACAGACGAAATCATCAACTAAAGGAGATGGAACCCCTCGGAAATCAATCGATAGCTTCGGCCAACGAACTTCCCGGTATCGTGGCGTCACCAGACACCGGTGGACGGGAAGATACGAAGCTCATTTATGGGATAATAGTTGTCGGAAAGAAGGTCAAACCAGAAAAGGTCGCCAAGGTAAACCTACGTTCATTCCTCCATCCACCATTCATATATAACGAACTACGTCTGATCATTCCTTCCGTTTCATGTGATATTCTGGGAATGCTTTCTCCGGCGATCGTCACCTTCATCGACATCAGTTTATCTTGGTAAGTCGACTTTCATCCCAACATGTCACCGGAGACATTACTTCCGGTTGCTACTTCATTCTTCTGAATTGTAATATATTTGTGTGTATTTAAACTATTAATTAGAAACGATGGTTTATTTTGCGACAAATATTGTTTTGTTGCTAATTACGTGATCTTCAGGGGGTTATGATAAAGAAGAGAAAGCAGCAAGAGCTTATGACTTGGCTGCTCTCAAATATTGGGGTACTACCACCCACATCAATTTCCCTGTGAGTTTTTTTTTTTTTTTTTTTTTTTTTTTTTTTTCATATATCAACATTTTGTTTGGTATAAATTCGAATTTCTCACAAAATATAATCGTTATGTGAGGGTAATTTATTAGCTAGCAACCTATGAGAAAGACCTCGAGGTGATGAAGGATATGAGCAGACAAGAATTTGTGGCCAACTTAAGAAGGTGATGCATATCAAACATATTCACGTAACGTTTTGTTATAAAGTTAGGATACTGTGTTTGTGTTTATTGGATTGTGACCTTTGACTAAAGTCAACGAAACAAAAATAACCCTAGAAATCTGTGTTACAAACGACAACCAACTAAAACCCGACATCAAAATACTATTTTTAGAACTGATTTTCGTTGGCGTGGAAATTGTTTGGATAGAGAATTATTGACATGTTAATGTAAAAATGGATACAGGAAAAGCAGTGGGTTTTCAAGAGGAGCATCTATGTACAGAGGAGTCACAAGGTAAAAGTTACTTTAAAGGAAACCGAGTATTGGGTCAATTTTTCGACTTAAAACGGGCAAATCCGGAGCAACAAAGATGCACAATGTACAAGTCATTAAAGCACGGTTGCTTCATAATGGACCGTTTTGGCTTTGTAGGGCAAAGCATGGCACATATTGGATTGAAACTTTTTCTTGATGACAAAAGAAGCATTATATGATTTTTTTGCAGTTACTTTTTGTGCCACAAACATGTGACTAGTCACATCACGTGAGCAATTTCAATCCGTTTAGGTGAAACATGCTCAATTTTTGTTACTTTGGTCAAATTATTTACTAATACTTTTAAATATTTATAATCATATTTAGTAAAATAATTATTATGATTTATGAAATTCGGAAAACATGGCAAATGGTATAAAAATGGCATATAGTTTTAAGCTCCTTTACGGTTTATTATTCATGCTTTATTTGTGGGGTCCATTCCATGTTTCTACTTTGAACATTTTCATTTATTACAAGTCAAAGCAGATGGTCAAATATTGAAAAAATATTAAAAACCAAAATGAATGCTGTCAAAATGTGTTGTAGCGATTAATAAATTGGTTAAAATATTTGCAGACACCATCAACATGGAAGGTGGCAAGCTAGAATTGGAAGGGTTGCAGGCAATAAGGACTTGTACCTTGGTACTTTCAGTAAGTTCATTCATTGTACTACATACAGTCATATACATATACTTTCACATGTATACATACACATTACTAAATATCACTTACTTTTTTATTGTTTCACTTTATAATTATAACAAATAAAATATTACTAACTGAATTTTATATTTTATAATCTTATAGGTACACAAGAGGAAGCAGCCGAGGCTTATGATATAGCAGCCATAAAATTCAGAGGGACAAGTGCTGTAACAAATTTTGACATTAGCAGATACGATGTTACAAGAATATGTTCGAGTTCAACTTTAATTGCTGGTGAGCTGGCGAAGCGTTCCCCGAGGGAAACCGGGCCCACAATGGTCGAGGGTTGCAGTGAGCCTGAGCCCATACTCGCTATAACAAATGGAGAGACTTGTGATGATTTTGTGGACATGGTATGGGATGGAAACCAGGGGCATGAAGGTGCAAATAATACCGATAACGATTCATCTGGGCCACAAAATATGGGCCCGGGTGAGTTGACTTGACTGAGGGAACAATTTCGTTTCCTCGGTCAATGAGATGAAAATGGAGTGGATGGGGCCCAATTTGGTAAACAAGGTGACTATGTCGTGTAGGAATTAGGAAAGTAGCTATTGATGTTATCATCAAAACTCAAAAATGTGTAGTTCAGGAAGTTGGTTTTAGGGCCACATGTTTGGGATTTGGGATAAAACTGTAGTTGGAAAGGTCTTGAAAAGATGTATTTTGATCCTTTGATCCAAAATTCACGATTGTTGTAAAACAAAATGGATGGGTGGATTTGAGTTATATTTTATTACTTTAGTGGGTGAAAAATGTAAAATTTGAAAACCTAGTTGGAGGACGAAACCAGATATTATTTTGGGTGAAAAGTGTGTAGTTGAACCGGTTTTGTTTATTTATGGGTTCTTATTGGGTTCAGACCTTTGTGTAATGCATTGTATTTGTATGAGAACAAAAGTTGCAATTAATTAGAGGAGGTCAGAGGCAGACATGCTGCTGCTGCTGCTGTTACTGCTGATAAGTGATAACTGAATGACTGAATCAAGTGGGTAGTGGGGAGCATCTCGCCTTTTGTGAGAGAATGAGAAATATTAGAATTTAGATTAGCAATAAGTTTGATAAGACACTACAATGCCATCATCTGGCATCTATATCTCGATAACCAATTTAATTCAAACAAAATTAACTCAACTTTTGTATGTTGTGTAATGTCCAAAGCTCAAAAGGTCGGATCTTTTTACTTTTTAGCATTTGATGATTTTGACAAATTAAATTTGAGTGTTGCTAAAAAAAATTATATTTGGGATTTTTATTATTTGTTTTTTTTTTATTTTTAATTATTAATCACATCTAATTTGAAAGTTGAAATGAACCTTAAGGTTCTATTTCAGAATTTTGCCACAAAGGTTTTAGATATTAGAAAGATTTAATCCCTAAGCACTTTCGTATTTCAGACTTTAGGACAAAGCTTTTGAATATTGCCAAATTGAGTCCCTAAGTATTTTTGCATTTCAGGTTTTTGGCACAAAGATTTTGAATATTAGCAGATTTAGTCCTTACAAATTCGTAATTATAGAAAACGTCCATCTAAAGGTTTTTTAAAAGAAACAATCCATACGTCTAACTTTTTTGTATGTTGTCATGTTTGTCGAAATTTAATTACAAAAATTGTCTTTATAGAAAAAGTCCTTATGTAGTTTTTTACATAAACAATTTATGTCTTCAAAAAAATTACAAAAAATAGCCCATATCTAATAGAAAATTTGTAGATTAGGCCTCTCGTGGGTAACCCCCCCTCCTCTCTCCTCTACAGTATATTGTCATGTTTCATCCCTATATTTTTTGAGTTTCACACTTTCGCCACAAGACTTTCATATATTTACAGGTTTTCTCTTTACACTTTTGTAATTATGCAAGATCGGCCTAACTTACTAGATAAAAGTAAACATAATAATAAGTCTAATCAAACTTAATATAATTTTTTTTTATTTTTTTTAGTTATAAATGTTCAATATCATCTTTTTAAATATTCCTATTTATATCCGTACTTATGGCTGTAAATGAACCGAACGAACACGAACGGGTCTAGTTCATATTCGTTCATTTAAGTTAGCCGAACAAATAAACGAACACAAACGGATAAACAAACGAGTTTTCTTGTTCATGTTCGTTCGTTTAACAAAATGCATTGTTGATGTTCGTTCGTTTATGTTCGTGAACATGCTAAACGAACATAAACGAATGAACATAAATGAACAAAGATAAACAAACATAATGCGAACATATATAAACATTAATGAACATATAATATAGTAATGTAATCAAATACAATAAAGCATATATGAACATAAAAGGAACTTATATGAACGAACATAAACAAACGTAAATGAACAACATAAACGAACGTTCATGAACATAATTGAACGAACGAGATCATTGTTCATGTTCATGTTCGTTCTTTTATCTAAACGAACGAGAATTTGTGTTCATGTTCGTTCATTTATTAAATAAACGAACATAATAGAACTTCCCGCCGAACGGTTCACGGACAGTTTGCTGAACGTTCGGTTCATTTACAACCCTATCTGTACTCACTGGATCATGAAAAATATCAAAATCAAAGTTTTCATACTTACTGAATCATGACAAATATCAAAATCAAAGGATGAGACGAAGAAAAAAAAATATGAATTACACATGTCAATCATTAAGGGGGTGTTTGAGACTGTTTATTTTAGGTGTTTATTGATTTATTTTAGTTGTGACTAGTAAGGATAGAGGGTGTCGACGACAGATTAAGCTAGAGGGACGGCGATATCGTCCCGGGATGAACATAAATGAACAAAGATAAACAAACATAATGCGAACATATATAAACATTAATGAACATATAATATAGTAATGTAATCAAATACAATAAAGCATATATGAACATAAAAGGAACTTATATGAACGAACATAAACAAACATAAACGAACAACATAAACGAACGTTCATGAACATAATTGAACGAACGAGACCATTGTTCATGTTCATGTTCGTTCTTTTATCTAAACGAACGAGAATTTGTGTTCATGTTCGTTCATTTATTAAATAAACGAACATAATAGAACTTCCCGCCGAACGGTTCACGGACAGTTTGCTGAACGTTCGGTTCATTTACAACCCTATCCGTACTCACTGGATCATGAAAAATATCAAAATCAAAGTTTTCATACTTACTGAATCATGACAAATATCAAAATCAAAGGATGAGACGAAGAAAAAAAAATATGAATTACACATGTCAATCATTAAGGGGGTGTTTGAGATTGTTTATTTTAGGTGTTTATTGATTTATTTTAGTTGTGACTAGTAAGGATAGAGGGTGTCGACGACAGATTAAGCTAGAGGGACGGCGATATCGTCCCGGGAAGGGGGGGGGGGGTAAATCCAAGCATGAGTGGTACCATCAGAAGAAACCATTTGTGGGTAGAAGAACCTGCTCCTTGTACAACATGCATTAAGACTTGTACCAAATCAGTTTGTATGTTTTAATTAGTTTTGTATGTTTTTAAATTTTTGTTAATTATTTTCTATGATTTTAATTAATTTGTATTTATTTTAAAATTAAAAATCAAGTGAGTTGGAAGGGATAAGAAATATGAGTTTATATGTGATGAGATTAGAAAAATGTAAGAAAGAGGAGAGACAAAAGTTGATGTAACAGTGATGTGACATATAGGTTAAGTAGTTTGGGAGGGGTCGACACGCTCCACCTTAATAAGTCATTTTAGGTGTTTGGATAGGAAAAAAATAGAGTAAATTATATAAATCGTCCATAATACAGGTGTCAAAAGAAACGTTCGGTCATTATTTTCAAAAATTAATTCGGACCGTCTCTGTATTATTATTTTTTTCACTTGGGCATTCTCTACGGATATAAAATGACTATTTTGCCCTTAATATACTCTCTTTGTCTCTATACTTTTTTTCTCTCTCTAACTTTTCATGCTTTGGTTACTTGTATATCATGCATTAAGACTTGTACCAAATCAGTTTGTATTTTTTAATTAGTTTTGTATGTTTTTAAATTTTTGTCAATTGTTTTCTATGATTTTAATTAATTTGTATTTATTTTAAAATTAAAAATTAAGTGAGTTGGAAGGGATAAGAAATATGGGTTTATATGTGATGAGATTAAAAAAATGTAAGAAAGAGGAGAGACAAAAGTTGATGTAACAGTGATGTGACATATAGGTTAAGTAGTTTGGGAGGGGTCGACACGTTCCACCTTAATAAGTCATTTTAGGTGTTTGGATAGGAAAAAAATAGAGTAAATTATATGAATCGTCCATAATACAGGTGTCAAAAGAAACGTTCGGTCATTATTTTCAAAAATTAATTCGGACCGTCTCTGTATTATTATTTTTTTCACTTGGGCATTCTCTACGGATATAAAATGACTATTTTGCCCTTAATATACTCTCTTTGTCTCTATACTTTTTTTCTCTCTCTAACTTTTCATGCTTTGGTTACTTGTATATCATGCATTAAGACTTGTACCAAATCACTTTGTATTTTTTAATTAGTTTTGTATGTTTTTAAACTTTTGTTAATTGTTTTCTATGATTTTAATTAATTTGTATTTATTTTAAAATTAAAAATTAAGTGAGTTGGAAGGGATAAGAAATATGGGTTTATATGTGATGAGATTAAAAAAATGTAAGAAAGAGGAGAGACAAAAGTTGATGTAACAGTGATGTGACATATAGGTTAAGTAGTTTGGGAGGGGTTGACATATAGGTTAAGTAGTTTGGGAGGGGTTGACACACTCCACCTTAATAAGTCATTTTAGGTGTTTGGATAGGAAAAAAATAGAATAAATTATATGAATTGTCCATAATACAGGTGTCAAAAGAAACGTTCGGTTCTTATTTTCAAAAATTAATTTGGACCGTCTCTGTATTATTATTTTTTTCACTCGGGCCTTCCCTACAGATATAAAATGACTATTTTGCCCTTAATATATATTTTTAATTTTTTATTATTTATTTATCATTTTTTAGAATAAAATTTGTTTTGATACCCCCATCACTAACCACACCCCAACCCACCCCTCCCCTTCTCTATCCCCTTTTCCTTTTACCTTAAGTGGAAAAGAACCATTGGTGAAATTATCAATAGCTCCATCGCCTCTACGGCCACACCTCATCACAAAACTTCCACTCTTCCCTTTTCCTTCAAACGAAGATTTATAAGTGTCTAACTAAATTTTTTCCATCTAATTAGGAGCTAATACTTGAAAGAACCTCATTCCAATCAACATTAATCTCAAAACTCCTTGTTCTTGTTGAACGTGACTTTTTTCCACTTAATTAAGAGCAGAGTTTTGAATCTTTTTACCAGTCTTGGAGTTAAGTGCAAATTTTGCAGCCTCAGGAGAACAAAAAGTGACAAATCTAAAACCTCAAGATTCCCCTGATTGTTACTCGTAGATCACCTTGCGCTCAAAAAACCAGGTAGTTCATCAAAAGTATCTTTGTGTTTCTCAGAAGTTATGATCCAGCTAAGGTTACATGCATAGATCTTGTGAGGAAGTTTATCTTCATTGTTTCCCTGATTTGCTACAAACTATTATCAAAATCAGTAGTCGTAATCATGTTCCTGAATTCAACCGATTTTTGGAGATGAAAATGGATTCAAAGTTTCAAACACATTTATAAGAATGGAAGAGAGCGCAGATCCGTTATACATTCTAATGGCCTATTTAGCTTCTCATTGTAAGAAATGAGAATCCCCTACTCATGTTTGCAACTCTATCGTAAACAATTTGATCCAATGGAAATTAAGGCTACGAGAAACCAAAAATCCCCAAAATCATACAAAAGTTCTAGTAGGCACACACATTATCTCCACAGAAATTATATCGCCAACTTCTTTGAATATTTGTGATAATTTTGTAGAAGTAATCGCGTATGGCAAGTTTCTGATGTAAAGCTTACGACGATGGGGTATTATGGTGAGGTGAGGTGAGGTGAGGTAG